ACAACATGAAAAGATTATTTTCACAGCTTTTTTCCTATGTATATAAAATCTTACACTTCATTTATCAATCCATCCAATTTCAAACACGCTTAATCCCAAGTGGGGTTGCGAGGGGTGTTGATTCCTATCTCCAGCTGTCAATGGGCGAAAGGCGGGGTACACCCTGGACAGTCCATTGCAGACTTTATTTATCCAAAAGTAAAATTTTATGATATTTCATATAACTCAAGTTTTTTCAAAAGACTCACAGTTGTTGATGGGTATTGGCAGGAAGCCTCTTCTGTAGCAATCTATCTTACAGCGGATCTAAAGACGTTCTTGTATTGTATGACCTTTCTCATAGAAAGGCACTTCAGAAATGTTTACTATGTGCTTCATCCTATCAAACTTCATATTACAATCATCTTTTGTCAATCTAAACTAGTCCCCCGAAGAGAGTTGTCACCAACATGGCTGAAGAAACTAGATTTTCTACAACCAACCTACAGAAGATATACAGAATATTGCAGCAAACTGTAAAAGGGTTTAAACATCCTGATGAGGTACAATCTGCTCACTCCCTTGTGGAGTACATTCTCACAGTTGCATCTCCTGTACAGCCTGATGTCTAGGTGAAGACCATATACTGGTACTCCTTCACCACCTTTACTTCTTCTCCTGTGATGGAATTGGTGTTTTTTCTGTCTACAAATATTTCAACGTCTTGCCAACTATGGGCACATCACCTGTCTGTACTCAGCATTTTAACAATTTCTGGTACAGCCTTCAATTATAGAGTCATATTAGTTAGTTATCATGTTAATAATACTGTTAAAATTTTTGTTTTATGTGGGCTGGATTATCTGTTTAAAGTCTAAATTTTTTTATTACTGAAAATATATTTTTTGACAACAATTGCATCTTCTGAGGCATTCGTAGTCTTCATTCAGAGGCCTCCCAGACAGAAAAAATGTCTACAGTGTCTTGCAAAAAGTATTCAATCACCTCATTCTTTTTTTATGCAACTACAAATTTCAATCTGATATTATTGGAACATTATGTGAAAACCCCACATAAAGTAGATTCAAATTTTCAGTTGGAAAATAATAGTACATTTTCAACCAGAGGTCAGAATAAGATGGCAAGTATATACAATCACCAAATGTAATCTAAAAATACATTCTGAGGCCTTTTTTTGAATATAAAGCTTCAGGTCTTCACTTTACCAGTTTGTCACACTAAAAGGAAGACATTTGAACCACTCGACTTTGAAGAATAGCTAAGATTGTATTGAAAACGTCTTTCAGAGCATCTCCAGAGAGTCTAACTTGGATCTTGTTCTTGACTTAAAATGTGTCTTTTTGATTTTTTATACTTAAAAAGAATCACATTTCTACTGGAATTCTATTTCAAACTCAATTTCAAGCCTTTTCCACCCTCTAGCAGGTTTTTGTTGTATTCTTTTTCTTTTTTTTTTTGTTCAGTTTATTTATTTAAAATAATTTTATTTTTTTGCAGTGTTAGTTTTTCTCAACATAATGGCCTTTTCTTGTAGGTCAAAAAGATACATTTTTGAGTTGTTTTCTCTGCAGTTTGCAATCTGCAAGCAAGACTATATATATTTTTAAACTATGGTATTTGATTTGAACGTCTTCTATAAAAGTTAGTCTATGGCTTCTCACCTAGTAGATATGTCGATGTCCACGTATATTTTTGGTTCTTATATACTCTTTATATTTTCAGATGTCAGATGCTTTGCAAGGTGCTCAAAGCTTGAGATAAACCTCTCCACAACTTTACCTACAATTACCTGTCTGGTTTGTTCCTGAATGTCATGATACTGTTTATCCAGTGAAGTTGTCTAACAAACAACTGAGCTTTTTAACACCTCCTTATTTTTATGGAATAAAATTACAGAGAAGCAGACTTCTCATTAATTAGATGTAGGCATTGGGGGCATCAGATAATTTTTCAGATTTCTAAATGTAAGAAATCTTGAAAACCCTGCTTCCTTTGGGTTAATCTGACATATAACTGGCTAGGGTACTTTTCAGTTTGTGGTTGTAAACTATGAATACTTTTGCAAGTTAGGGCTGATATCTATGAGAGAAGATATACCTGCTAAGTCTGCTTACAGTTTACAGCCCTAAAGATTAATGTCATCCATCCATGTTGAGTTATTTACAAGAAATCCAGGAATGCAGGCTTTATTGTACTGTTATTATTAAGTACTGGGCCCCCATTAAAAAGTTAAGTAACCTCCATACGATATTAAAAAACCCATTTGTAAACCCCTCCCTCCTCATCATTCCATGAGATTGAATGCGGTATCATGTTATTCACCTATAATTCAATTAACAATGAAGTTCATTGACCTTCTTCTCAGTATTTTATTTTCTCGTTTAGTTTAGTTTTGTCTAGTTTTTCCACTGGCTCCATTTGACCCAGTTCTAGTCCACCCTACCAACTTTCAAATGTTTCCATAACAGCTTTTTTTCTCAGCATTAGTCATCTGATTGTACCTACTCTTGAGTTGGACCAAAAAAGGCACAAACAGTAGTAAAAAAAACAGTAATGGAAATCGAAAATTGGTGCGACTGGAGTAGAGCCAGGCCAAATGGAGCTGATGAAAAGGGATATAGACGTAATTATTTTGAAAACAGTTGCAAAACATTGTCGATACTGCTTGATAACACCTTAAATATATATTTATGGGATAGTAAAATGTATATATGATAAACCATTGGATATAACTTGAGCTCTGATAATTCACTAAATGTAGCAATAAATCTGAAAAGTGTTTGCAAATCTACCTTCATATCAGTTTGAATAACATGCAGTCTGTTGCTAAACTAACTGGAACATTTCTTCCTCATGTTAACAGCATCGTGCAAACCGGTTCTCAACACAGGGGCTGAACTTTCTCTTTTTTGCCTCTCGTCTAGCTTTGGCCACTCTGCTGCCATCCAGACATGGCACTGATACACCCACCATGAAGATTAGGGAAGATTTAGCTCCTGTGCCAGCCTCACTCCCTGTGCCATGCCATCCCTCAGCACAGCGGGGGGTCCCGCTTGGCATGGCAAGGTGAACTAGCCTCTGATTGATGGGCATGGTTTCAGGCTGCTACTGTGCTCCCTGAGCCTCGTGCCTCCTTTTCCTTTCTCCCACTGCTGTCTTGGCAGAGGCATCCAAATCCTCCTTCATACCAGGCAGCCAGCTAAAGCTCCTGGTGGGCACATCAATTACAGAGCGGCACCTCCCCTCTTTTCTCATGACTATCTGTGGGTCTGTCTGCTGTCTCAGACGATGCCAATCTGGTCCATCTCCATCTCCTCTGCCTTCTAAAGCTGTCTCTTGTGAGTGTTTTTTTAACTCCTGTTCATAAATACAGCTTTACATGTGAGAAAATGCACATGTATTCATGCACACACTCCCTACTCCTTCTCACAGGCAGGTCATAATGGTTGGTGGCAAAACCCTCCCCAGAGAGCACTCATTGCCACAGGCTCAGCTGTACAATAGGCTCAGGTGTTTGTAGGCAGTATATGCTTGTGTGTGCAAAGCATGATTGCCTTCGTAGTTTTTTTTATTTAATTTATGGTAATGTTAAATTTGATTTTTTTTATTGGAGTTCATATTTAACTAAAACAATAAAAAAAAAAACAATAATCAGAAATTATCTAGATGTTTGCTTTAACTTGCCATAGGATTTTGGTGGTTGGTTAGTCTTGGCCAAACATAAACCGTTTACTTGCAGCAGTGCGCCATCTACAGTATTCATAAAGTGAGTGCCTTTGAACACAACTTGTTTTCCCCTTTAAAATATAATTTGATCATATATATATATATATATATATATATATATATATATATATATATATATATATATATATATATATATATATATATATATATATATATATATATATATATATATATATATATATATATATAAACACTCTTCCAGTTTGGGGGTCACTGCCCCGAGTGCCCCAATGACCACGGGTAACACTGATGCCTTGACCTTCCAGGTTTTCTACAGCTCTTCTCTGAGCCCCTGATATGTCTCTGGTTTTTTGTTCTTGTTCTTTTTTTCTGATGTTGCAGTCACTTAGTATTGCTATGTCAACCACAACAGCTTTCCTCTGTGTTTTGTCTACCCCCACAATGTCCGGTTGGTTTGTCGTCTATATTTGGAAGTCCCACAGGGTCTTGTCTTGATCACTCTTTACTACCTTTGGGTATGTTTCCCATTTTGACCTTGGGGTTCCCAGCCCATACTCTGCATATATATATATATATATATATATATATATATATATATATATATATATATATATATATATATATATATATATATATATATATATATATATATATATATATATATATATATATATATATATAATTGTGTTTATATTTATATTGATTGATATAAAAAACACATTAAGAATAGCTATAATTTTTCATTATTTCACAGCGTCTTTCACAATTTAAATTATTTAATACTTAAATTAACTGTATATTTGTATCCATCTTGCTGCTCACGTCTCTTTATTTTGTTTGCAGCTAAACAAACACCCTTATTCACAATACGTTTTGCACAGCAGAAAAACTCATCCCCCTCAGAGATAGTAAATTCCTACAGTTTCTAAAGGGGAGACTGTCCACTTTTTTATACACTGTCTCAGAAGATAAGAATAACAAACATAATTAAATTAAAGAACTGTTATTCTTCACCAGAATATCAAATTTTATTTATGTCTTTACTACCTGTTGTGTTTGGCTCCACCCCCTGGATGTGAGTTTTATGGTATTTGTTGATAAAATAAAAAAAACTGCATGGGCATGTCATATTTCATTTCACCAGCTATGAAGGCTGTTTAAATTGGTTTTTATGATGTACAAAATTAAAGAAGCATTTAAAAGATGGAAAAAAGAGATATGAAATGTATGACAAAGCAAGATGTCTGTTTTCTGTCCCTATGATGAAAAAAAAGCGTGAGCTACGGAAGCCCGAGTGGGAGGGGACTGAAGCGGACCTTTGAAGGGAAACAATGGCGGCTGGGCCTGGTGTTTCGCTGCAGAGCGGCAGTCCCGCCAGAGAACCTTCCATATCAGTTCAACAAGGATCCAATCAGACTTTTGGAGACCGTACTAAAACAGAAGATATAACAGGTGCGGACAAGTCTTTCTTTTAACTGTTATTTAAAAGAAATTGAAATCAGTGACCGATGCTACAAAGGCTAGCTAGCTACTGCTAACAGTTCGCTTATCCGAGTATTATTGTTTATAGTTTTCATTTTGCGTCTTAAACATAGTAAATTATTTATGTTTCACAAAGTAAAGCCGTGCCAATAATAAGATTAGTTAATCTATCTTTTCAAAAGTTGAATTGTGAACGAATGTTAAACGTAGGCTAACAAACTGCCTCAACAACAAGATAAACATAAGATATCACAGAGCTAAATTCAAATATTTCTTCTACATAACTTTTATATGTAGCGTCTCTTGAGTTGCAGCGTTAATCCATAAAAGTGATTGCTTAATAACAGCTTATATTAAATGTCATAAGAGGTTATTACACACTTATTAGCTGTAGCTGACAGTTGTGTGTAAAAACGAATTTGTTTTTAGGCTTGTCAAAGAGGTAGGCGTACTTGTTTTTCCTTTTATAATGATATATTCTTATTGCAATAATGTAATTGCCTTAAAGTTGTTCGGACCTTCTTATCCCACACAGTGGAACATGAGTTGTCACTAATTTTTTTTATTTCCTTTACAACGTGGAGCGTTATGTGCAAAAAATGAAAACAAGAAATAAATAAATAAAATGCTAATTGTGAAGACTCAACTTTTTTTTTATAGAGTGCACTTTAGAGAACAACTTTGAAGTAATTTTCCTTCTAAAGATACACAAATCATAGATTTAAAAAAAGGATTAATAATTAAAACCCAATGCAGAAATTTATTGTAATTTTGCAGCCCATTGCCATATAATTTAGATATACGGGCACATCTTTGCATTGTTTGTTGATGTCTGAATAATTCAGACATCGACCCCCAGTCTTACCCTGAGCCTTGTTCTACTGAAGGTTTCTTCCTGTTAAAAAGAACTTTTTCCTCCCCACTGTCGCTACAAGCATGCTTGGTGTGAGGGATTGCCTTCGAGTCAATGAGTCCATGCAATCAACTGGTTTTCCTTAGATAGAAAACTTTGAATCAGTCTGACTGTATGATCTGGTTGACTTGTCTCTGTAAAGTGCTTTGAGATGACGTGTTGTGAATTGGCGCCATATAAATAAGCTGAGTTTAATTGAATTGACCTTTACAGTTAACACAGCATCACCTTCACCCAGTCTTTGGAAGTATATTATCACCAAAAGATCAACATCACAACAGTCAAGCAAAGAGGAAGAAATGTGCTTTGGGGAAATTTTTCTCCTTTTTTATAGGTATAGGATTAGGGATCACTTAGCTTCATTGAGAGGCAGATTGATGAGGTAGGGTATAACTAAACAATTTTTTTTTCTCTCGAATGAGAACATTAAAGACAGGTACAGGAATGATGTCCTAGCGTGATTTAACACATAGCTACCACAAAGGGAAACGAAAAGGATTGGTTTTATAAAGCTTTAAAAAAGGTAATGGATTGGCTTATCTAGTATAATATGTAATTTTATCCTATAATATTGATATGACTTTTAAACGCATTTTAAAATACATTATAGTCCATGATTTACAGCATTTGTCACTGACTGATTTTCAATGTTTTATGTGTTTTGCTTTTTTTTTTAAAGAAAAAATGCATTTTAATTTTGTTATAGAGAAGTTGTATAAACTTATTAAAAGTGATTATCATACATTTTTTCATTACATTGTGGGCATATGAGTATAATAATCATATTGTAGCCAACAAACCTAAGAAATGTATTATGATAAAAGTTATGGCCATATCGTCCAGCTTGAGAGTTTATCCAGTCTTTGGATCTCAGTCCTGCATCGTTCTTTCAGACGCACCTTTGGAATTTTTACTTGATAACTATGGACCTCTGTAAAGTGCTATAACCTCTCCCAAGATGGGTCCAGTCCTAGTGGTCAACTGTTGAAAATGTTTGAATGCTAGATATCAAAGGGTTTGTCTCACAAGTTCTAATTGTGATTCATAAGTTAATTTTCAACATTTATTTGATGTTTATCTTGAGCTTTGCTTTTTGCTGTCTTTCTGCATTAGAATGACAACTGCCATCAAAGTTGTATACATATGTTATTTTAACCATAAAAATAATTATGCATCCCTGCTGTATATTAAAGGTACCTGCTATTAAATGCGTGTGAGAGCATGCATGAGCCCATTTCTCCTCTAGTAGGTTTGAGGATACATTGATAAGATGGTCGCTCAGATGGATCTCATCTCACCCATATTTATATAGACTACTGGTACATTAAAAGAAATCATGATATGCTTCTATGTGTGTCTGCAAATTAGAAAATAAATAAACTTAACTTCCCGGAAAAGTTACAATATATAGATAGATAACTTTTATCAGCAGTGATGTGAAATGGATTTCTCCAAATAGCATGAGAAACTTTACCTGTCTAGTAGAAACTTCGCAACCGAGGCATCAGTGGGAAGCCCGACCTGTGCTTTCAGTGCAGACCAATTATTTCGATGATCCACCCAGGAAAAAGAAAATCCTCCACTATACCTTTAACAGATTTTATAAAATTTCTGAACCTGAATTTTCTCTCTTTGTTTTTTTTCTTTGTTTAGAAGCAGAGAAGCAGAGTTGCATGGCTGCTCTGCTGGAGCGGCTTCATGCTAAACACAATGCTTCACGGCCATGGGAGGGGACCTTTAATGTTGTGCGTCAAGCAATGGTGAGACGAACACCTTACACAAAATTATCTGAAAATATGCAATAAATTTCTAATTTTGACGAGTTTCTAACCAGTCGGCAAACACTTTCTGATATCTTAATTTAAGGTTCAAATAGAAAACACAAACTAATAGTTTCTCATTTGATAGTATGTACAAAATTAAATACATCACAAGTTAAAAAATATCCAGCATTTTGTTGTTTATAGCATAAAATAATTCACTAAGATAGCAGACAATGCTCAATTCCTCATTCGGCCACGTGACCCACGGAGGCGCTGTAGGATGCCGTGACATCATTTTAGTCAGTAAGTAGTCATTCTACATTGCGAGTCAAAATTAATTTACCTTTGTGATTGAGGTTTTATCCTTTAACGAGGACGAATACGAAGCAATTGGAGTCTTAGTGGTTTTATTAATGCTCGCTGGTTTAATCACCTCTGCTAAATGTTCTTTGATCTTATGCATAGCCGATGGAAGTTCATTATATTTCAGAACAGGATTCGGATTGATTCTGTGGTGGCTGGGTTTTTGGTATATTTAATCCAACTGATGCTGTGGGAGCAGGATTGATGATAAAAGAATCTGCTGTGATGTGATCCGAACATAGATTACTGTATTGGCTTGGACGCCACAGATTACCTTGTTGAGTTTTGTCTAATTGATTTACTTTCTGGATCGAAATTTGACACAAAACCGGGTTCTTTGGATAATTAAACATTCCTTTTCCTGATCCAAAGCCATTCCTACAATTGGCAGCAGTACAATAGACCATTTAATGACATTTAACAATCCTTTCAGAGTTCTTAACAATACGTGAAGTAGTGTTTCTATCCATCCGTCTGAGGAGGTTTGACTACACTGACGTCACAGCTGTGTTTCGTCACGTGACTGCTCGAGAGGCTCCTACCATACTGTAAAATTCTCTTGATTTTTATTACTTGGAGTATTTTTAGTGTGATTTAGACCAGCCACATAGAAAAAAGAAAGGACAATCTACCATCACACACGATAAAACTGCTCCTTTCTATTTTAACTTTGAGTCATTTTGTAGTTGCATTAACCAAAATCAACTAATATGCCAGAAAATGCATAAACTAACTAATTTACTGTTCTTTAACCATTTGGAATGGCCTAACTAGTCAAATAAAGCTGTTCTAATGATGGACTGTAGCCTTAATGTGATCATATGAGGCTGCAAATACGTCCCACAGATGGGTCATGACAGCTACCAGGTTAATCCAAAAAAAGCTTGCATTTGTTTGGATGCAAGGTGCAGGCGTTATGTGAGGTGCTGTCGCATGCCTCACATAACTCCAGCAAATTTGCATGGCGGGCAACATTCCCTTCCTTCATTAAATAGAAGGTGCTTCTGTCTGCTCCTAACCGGCTTTAACTCAGCGAGTCGATCGCAATGCTTCAGTCATAATGGGAAGCCCAACAGCTGCAGCGGTGCTCCTGGGTCCATCAGATCCTTTATAGATCTACAGCTTGATGTGAATCACTTTCTCATGGTGCTTATATCAGACCAGGACCCGAAACTGTAATCTCACTTGGGGGTGGGATCACCCAGACAACAGAGGTAGGGTGAGGCGGCAACCTAGAGCTCAGGCAGGAGCAGGGGGGAGAAGTGGGGCAGAGAGTACACTAGAGCTGTCACAATGTTGCCGGGCGGCCGCACCCACCTCTAGGAAGCTAACAGCGGGAGATCAGAGCAGCTCTTTGGGCTAAAAGTGTAGGACGAATAATGAATGATTTCACTGTCGCATTAAGAGCTTAATTAAAAAAGCCTTTTTTAAAGGCCACCCAGGAACCTCTTAAGAGCACTACTCACTTCATCCTATGGCAGCGTTGTTTTTAGCTTGGTCTCCACTTTGCTCCTTTACCCTACATCATAGCCACATCCAATTCCTTATTTCTTGTCATTTCGTAACAAGACCCCACAGTCTAAATTATCCAGCAACCGTTGCTGTGCACTCATCTCAGGTGTCGCCATTGCTTCGCTATAATCGTTCCTGTTGCATTGCTAGGATAGCATCATTGTATCACTTTTCTTTGCAGCACTCCTGAATGGCCTCTATATATGAACAACATGTTGTTAGAAAGGAGTTAGGTGTGAAAGCATCAAAGAGGTGATTCAGCTATGTGTGGCATTGTGTGCTCATTAAAGTCAATAACTTCATAAACTGATACAAGCTGTGAAATATACCTACTAAAATATATGTACGATATTTTATATGCATAGAAATTTTATGAAATCGTACAAGATTTAGTCAATCTTATTTTAAATTATTAGTTTTTCTGTAAGTATCCTATTATTAATATATATTTTAACTGCCCACATGGTGTTTCAGGAGAAACGTGGCGTGATGAATGAAGCGGGTCATCAGCTCCTCCTCAACTGTTTGGAGACCCTTCAGAAAGCTCTGAAAGGTGAGGTTGTTTAATCAAAAAAGGTTTGGATTTCAAACAAATAACTTCCTATATCAAAAATCAAAACTGTGCTTGTTTGTTTAGACCAATATTGCAATTGCGATTTTATTTTGGATTTCTTATACACTACCCACAAGCCTGTAGATGTTTTACTCAATGGTTTCAGTGATTTTATTACCTTTAAACTGGATTAATAAATACATATAAGTGCATAAAAATGGCCCACTCAGGTGTGGCCATCGTTCTGAGTGGGGCTGCAATTAAATCGATTAATCTATTGATCATTTTTTTTCGATTAATTGATTAATAATCAGTTGGCTAATGGTTCCTTAAAGAAGACTTTTTACGAAATTAAGCCAGGTGAAACTACAGCTTTTCCACTTGAGTGCTGGATAGAGCATATTGACAGAAAAAAAAGTTTTTGATCTTAAATGAAAAAAAAATTACATATATATTTTATAGTAAGTAAATATATATATATATATATATATATATATATATATATATATATATATATATATATATATATATATATATATATAATAATTTTCTAAAATCAGTTCAATGCATGCTCATTGTCAGGGATTGCTGCAGAGTTTAGAACACAGGGGGAAGTGAATGTTTACTGTTGCTACATGAGCATCCAGGGGGAGCAAATCATTCAAAATCAATGACTATGCAATAAACTAGATCTCCTTTGATAGAAAACCAATATTGTCTATAGGATTTATTTTAGAAAATTTTCTGTTAAGTGCACTGAGAGGTCGTTTTGTGAATTGCCGCTTTAGAAACAAACTGGATTGAATTTAAAGATCATTTTTAAAAAGATCCCCTACCTAATACGTAAGAAAAAAAGGGTCAGATTTACAGTTGTGTTGAGATTTATTAATTAATTTCTCATTTATTTATTATGTCTATGTGAGCTCTAAGAATCTCTTTGATAATGAATTATTTAGTTTACATCAGATATGTCAAAGGTGTTGAGAGAGAGCAGCTAGAGTTGCGCATCTTTGCTGTTAAAAAGTGTTTCAGTTTTATGTCAAAACCAGTTTTTACAGATTTGATGCTTTAATGTCTTTATTTTAGGGTTTCAGGCTTTTAGCCACAACTATCAGCAATCTATGTGTTTTTCCCCATTAGTTTGTCTGCCTTTATCTGAACTCTAGGATTTCTAACATACTACCACCATTGCCTAAACCAGCATGCATGTAGGGATGCAAAAAAATAACTGAGTATATGATTTGGATAAAAATTTGTTCCATTCGATTAACAGATAACTTCCACTAAGGCAGACCCTTTTTCATGTTGTAGTGTGGCTGCCATCCAGAAGAGGGCACCACTGTTATCCTTAAGCCAACCTATAATAGTTGTAAGAGGAAATAATTCCTAACCCTAAATTGAAAGGATCCAAACCTTTTCAAGTACGAATTATTTTACATAGTTTAATGACAACAAAGATGTAGAATTGCCTTTATGCGGTTCTGTCTGTAACTAAAGCACTCAACCAGCTCCTTAAAGGAATAGTACACCCAAAACATGATTAGCCTTCATTTTCTACTCACCCCCATGCTGAACAACACTCTGGAGTACTTTTTTGATATCTCAAATGCATCTGGAGATCTGGGAGGCTTCTTGCTGTCTGCTGACATTCAAATAATGGAGGTCTATGGTGACCGAGACAGAAAGGTCCATAAAAGTCCACAAAAAACGTGTCAATATTCCTCCATACTGCTCGTCCAATGTATTCCAAGTGTCCTGAGTGGGTAGCATCCAGAATTTACTCGAAACGAAGTCATTTAGAATGTTTTTAGAGCATAAACAGTAGTGTATAGTATTTCCTGAAAGCGCGCACACGCGCGCTCACGACGCTACGGAAGCTGGCAGACCAAACCAGCGCATTCAGCTCGGCAAAGAACTCATGCTCTTCCTCAACACTGAAGTCCTCGGATATTTTTCTTTCGTTGTTTCTTTCTTTGCACAGGTAAACAGCACATTTCTTCTTCTACGCTTGCATTATTGGAAGAGCAGACGCTGAATGCGCACTTTCATCTGGTTTGATCTGCCGGCTTCCGTAGCGTCGTGAGCGCGCGTGTGCGCGCTTTCAGGAAATCCTATACACTACTGTTTATGCTCTAAAAACATTCTAAATGACTTCGTTTCGAGTAAATTCTGGATGCTACCCACTCAGGACACTTGGAATACATTGGACGAGCAGTATGGAGGAATATTGACACGTTTTTTGTGGACTTTTATGGACCTTTCTGTCTCGGTCACCATAGACCTCCATTATTTGAATGTCAGCAGACAGCAAGAAGCCTCCCAGATCTCCAGATGCATTTGAGATATCAAAAAAGTACTCCAGAGTGTTGTTCAGCATGGGGGTGAGTAGAAAATGAAGGCTAATCATGTTTTGGGTGTACTATTCCTTTAAGCTAGCACCTGAATAGCTCCCATATTTTTTTGGCCAATCAGCAATTAAGGTTGCTTAAGGATAAAATGGCCAATATCATTTTTTATTCCAAATCAATGTGGCCTGCCTAATGAACGCATTACACTGCATGTCTTTTATTGGTTCTTGCATTTTTTAAATTTATATTGTAGTCCTATTTAAAGTTTTCTGATTCTTTTTTTTCCAGTCTCATCTCTCCCCTCCATGACTGATCGGCTGGAGTCTATAGCTCGACAAAACATGTAAGTGTCATGTTATATCCTTTTTTACTTAATGTCTTTTTTGTTTTGTTGCTATACTGCAGCATGGAATAAGATGGAAACATATAGAGTGATCTGTTTCAGGTTTAATTATTATTCTCCTGTATTTGTAGGTTGGGCTCTCACCTCAGTCCAACAAAAACAGAGTGCTACATCACGTCAGACATGTTTTATGTAGAGGTGCAGCTGGATGCTGGTGGCCAGCTGGTGGATGTCAAGGTTGCTCATCAAGGGGAAAACCCGACGGTTAGTATATAGAAAGTCTGGTTTAACGATGTCTTAAGATAAGAGATTATCTGAAAGAGGCTTTCTCAAAGATTGGACTTTCTTTAGATTCTTTAAATGCTTGCAATTTATATTTCTTTTTTCTTCATTTGGTGGTTCCAGAGTTGTCCTGAACTTAGCCAACATCTGAGGTGGGTTAAGCTATAATTTCAAAGCTTTTTTTATTTTAATACCCTCTATAATGTAGGTTATGCTTTATGGTAATAATATCTAAATGACAGCCATTGCATTTTTCTTTTCTTTCTTTAGTGAAAAGAACTTTGAAGCCTTTTCTAAGCATCTCAAAGGACTGGTTGATTTATACCGGCTTCCTGGAGACAAGTAGGTTTTTGTCACGTGTTCTTGCACATCTTTGAGTTCATTGAGATTTTTATAACTGCTGGGCTTTTTTTTATCAAGCCACTGCTCTGATGAGGTAAAAAGCAACTAGTATTTATTTATCAACAAGTACTTAAATTCCTTAATTAAATTAAGGAGTTCTATTCTATTAATCTATTAATTGAGTTTAGGTTTTGCTGCTGAGTAAAGTTTTCTATTGAAATCAATGTGAACAGCATAAAAAATTGTCTTCTTGCTTATTTTGCAGTCTGTAAAATATGGAAATGTAATTTTATACATTAAACGTACAAAAGTAAGGAATATCTAATATCAGTTTGTTATATTATATATTTATAATAAAATGTAATTTATCACAAATGGACAATACAGTATCCTCTATCCTGTTGTCTAGAAGACTATATATAATAACTGTTACAGTTATTGTTTATTCAGTTATAAATTAACTCCCCAAAATTATTTAAACTTGTTTATCTATGATTGATCCAAAGAAAAACAAACAGGCAATTAGATAACAAGCAGGCATGGTGGATGCTGATAGTACTGGCCAAATAATGCTCTTTACTGGTTTATTGTTCTAATTAAACCCCACAATGCTCTACTATAGCACGATGATGCAATCCTGATGTGATCCGAGTCCAACCATGCAGTCGCTTTACTTTGAAACCACTTCTGGTGTGGTAAAAAGCCTTTAGCTCCTTGGCGGACACTTAATCTGCAAAGGAGCTAAATGCATTAAGGAATAGGGAGGATTATTCAAGCTATTATTTGCACAGCTGAACTGCGGCGCTAACGCATCGCTTCCGCTGGGTGTAATTGATCCTTCCCTCTGTCCTTACATTCCAGGTCCCCTCCTCTGTATCCTTCTTTCATCTTCCTTTCTTTATTCTCATTAAAAGGCATCAATAAAATTGCATTGAATGTATTTGTTTTATATGTTAAAATGAACATAATTAAAAAGAGAATTTGTGACACTTCATTACTAGCTGTGGCAATATTTTACTGACAATAAACCAATAAAAGTATTGTGGTGGATTCTCCATCTATGTTTTAAGTAAAATAGGATTTAATGTTTTAAAATGTCCCTAACACCAACGATGGTAGTTAGCCAGATTAGCATAACTTTAAACAGCAGTGTGTATGTGAATTTCATATAAACTTTAGATCATCGACATTGATTTTTTTTTAGAAGGCTGCTAGCTTTTCTAAATTTAGCATATTATACAATCGACTAAAGCTTGAGAAAGTTAAAGCATAAACTTTTATGTAATAAGTTGTTTTATTTGCTTTTATCTGATTGACGAGTTGACTTCTGTTCTTCCTCTTATCTGATCATCTAGTTGACACAGACGGCTAACTTTAAGTCTTCTTGCCTCCATATAAACTTCAACACTAAAAAAAAAAGTCCTCCACTGTACCTGATCAGTTAATTAAGTCTGATTTTAGGTTGTTTTTAGAAAACAAGTTAAAAAATACTTTTTGCATTATTGTGTTTCAGTAAGCTGAAAACAAAGATGTATATAGCACTACAGTCTTTGGAACTCGATCTTACCAAGATGATGCACATGTTTAGGTAAGTTAACAGAACAGCTCCTTTTTTCCCTGCTGTTTTGATTCATTCCTCAGGGAAAAAACAGATGATTATAACATTACAGTGAGTGTTGATGGACCCATAATATTTCTATAAAATTAACTCTAGCCTTAAGAGTTTGTTTGTGTGGACTACAATGAGGCCATGTTGGTGTAGAGAAATTAACAGATGTTTAAGGAGAAAGCTGTTGATTGATAAGTAGCAAAATGCTCCGTTCGTTCATGTGTTTGGGTCTTTTTTCCTGTCTGTTAGGTTAGCAATGAATGCTAATGTGGTCGAAACTATTCTTCATGGGAGTGTTGGCTGGCTGACTCCCAGGAGCGGTGGAAATCTGGTGTCTCTTCAGTGCTACGTGTCCCCTTATGACATATTTGAGGTGGACTTAACAGATAATAATGGTAAGTTCAGTTATAAATGGAGGAAGAAGCCTCTTTGTTATCACTGTACTTTGAGAAGATGGTAACTTTTCAATGTGCCCTAAAAGCGTCGACCAAGAGAACAATTCCCAAAGTTCCTACTGGGGTGTCCCCATCAGATATCGATGTTGAAACTTGGTCAGTCTGGTGAGTCTAAAACAGACCGAACCAATCGCATCTCGCCAGGTGGACCCATAATGCAGCAGCGCTTTTTCTGTAACCATAAAGGTCAAGATTGTAGCTGCAGCAAAGGGATTTTTTTAATTGTGCCCTTTATAAAAAGTTCCAAAAGAGCTGTTGGATCACTACAATATTAAAAAGTGGTTGATATAGGAGCTTTTCTTTTTAAAATAGACTTTTTTGCGTCACATCACTTAAGGACCAGATTGGTTCTATCAGAATAAAGTAGCCCTCATCTTAAATCCCTGATATACAAAAGGTGTTATAATATCAGTAATGTCACTTTTTAAAGTCTTTTTTATCATTCCACAGTACAAGATGAGTAAAAAAAAGTGTGTATGACTCGTGATGATATGGTATCTGGGTAATATCGATATTGGTCAATACTCAAAACTGGAATATCGTAAATGAAAGTTTCCAGACAGTCCTCTTTCCTACACACCCTTAAAAACCCTTTTTGTAATTTATTTTTTTTATTTCATTTTCAAAAGTACAGAAGGTGACAACCCAGTGAACTTAATTTCCCATTAATTTGCTTCATCGTACCTCAATATTGATATTTTAAGCATCTGGATTTTTGTTTATGAAACATTACATATACTGTTACATATGGCAGAATGCCACAGTAATTACATGATTTTTGATGAATAAACAATTAATGGGTTAGTTTTAATGTATTTCTGCTTGGCTTCATAACAGACGTTGACTCTAGTAATCAATAAGCTGCTGGAAAAAATATCTACATGTCAACAAAGTTTTATAAAAGATATTGCTTCTGTAGAAACTCTTCTGTTCTGGCTGTGACAATTCAGTTGTAGAAAATATAAAATGATGAAATAATTCAAAACATATTTTTCAAAAACACCTCTATTTGTATTGCTGTTTTTCATACACAAGGGAATTAAGCTCAATTTTTTTGTCATTATTTACTTTCGATTTATGCTTAAATTTTAAAAGAAAAAAAATTGTTGCATTTAACAACAAAAAAAATGTGGCTGTCAATATGTTCTACCCAGAGCTTCTCACATGAACAAGTTTTAGTTTCAGACGGTTTAATTCTGTAAAAAATCTTTTGCTATCCGATTATTAATTGATTAATCAAAAAAAATAATTGAAAGATTATTTGATTATTAAAATAATTGCAAGTTGCAGCCCTGGTCTTAAAAGAGTAACCAGAAATTGTAATAAAAATGAAGAAAACCCTTTGAGGACAAGATGAGTCCAAACTGTTCTCTGGTAGTGTATAAATCAGAGGATTAAGGAAAATGCACTGTGCATATTCCATACACTATTCTTGGAATATTTTGATGAACAATGATTCAAAAGTAAAATTGGGAAGTTTAAATACCTTTTTGCTCTCTGTACAACTTTAGTTTTAGGTTAACCTGGACTGGTTTCATAAAATGGGTCTGAGATACCAAAAACGAAACACCAAAATGCCAATTATTTTTTTTTTTTTTATAAATGTACCACTCTTCACAAAAGCAGCTGTAAAGAATCTGTGTTTGATCGGTTTGTTGAACCTGCATATAGTAAGACTCAAATACTATTAACACAGGTTAAGTAAAGGTTAGTTTTTAAATAGTATATGACTGCAGAAAACCAACAAGTGTTGTCTGACATCGTATTACATTTTGAGATAAAACGTGTAGCAGCCCTGGGTACCTGATCAATATCTTGTCAACCCTTTGACTCATCTCTATATGTGTTCACTGCTCTTTATAGTTCCACGCTCCCTGGGTGTCAGTGTATCTGTGACCATCGAGGGAACTTCAGCTGTGTATAAGCTCCCGATCGCTCCCCTCATCACCGGATCCCACCCTGTTGATAACAAAGGGTAAGTTTGATTGCCATAAACACCCTTTTCTTTTTTATTGTGTAATGTTAAGTATTATTTAATTTTAACAAAATATCTTTATTTTGGACTTTATTTTAGCACACCGTCTTTTTCCACTGTGAGCAACTCAAACAGCGTGGACCTGCCGGCCTGTTTTTTCCTCAAGATGAACCGCCCCATGCCTTTCTCACTCTCCTTCATCCAGAGGCTATGCAATGCCACTTGTGAGATCTCATTCATAGATACCCTTGAGTTTGTTATGCCATGGTAGAGTTTGTGACCTTTAAGGATTCAGGGCTAAATCTGTCTTTTGTTCTCCACCCTAGCGATCCCCGTGTTTGAGACGTCACCCAACCTCTCACCTCTTTGCCAGTTAATTGTTCAGAGTCAGCTGCAGCTTCTGGAGGAGGGGAGCTCTGTGCCTGCTATGTTGCACAACATGCACTTTTATTCTGTGAGCTGATATCTGATTCCGTCTATATTGATTCTTAGACCCGTAGTACTTCTTATGTCTTGTAATTCTCCTACCTCATTTCAGTTATAAATCATGTTAGATTAAATTAATCGGAATCCGTCTTTTTGTTTTGGGGAGAAAAAAACGCTTGTCTTTCGTGCACATTTATTGAATATTGGGTAAATGCACTGAAATCTAATTCTTGTTCCTCATCTATTCCCCAGATGCTTGAAATTTATTAAATCCAGTAGTTATAAAAACTTGTTTAATTAATTTATGTTTTTATTATTTTTCAGATTTTACCAGACCAGCAACACTGTTATTTCCTAAACGGTGATGCACCAGTGCACGATGGCCACTCATTACAAGGAGCAATGGTGTCAAAGATCCCCTTTCGCCACCCAGCACAGGTTCCCCTCTTGCTGGATATCATTCGCCATCAGGCGGCATACAACACTCTCATTGGCAGCTGTGTCAAACAGACATCTGTTAAAGAAGGTGAGTGACAATGAAATAGCTTTACAAAATCATCCAGCAAACTTCCTTTGTTTTTGTTTTTTTGCTTTCAGTTAGAGTCCAATTTCTTTTGTGTTTTTTTGTTTGTTTTTTTTTTTGCAGACAGTGCAGGTCTTCTACAGTTCGAAGTCTGTCCGCTCACTGATTCAAGTTTCAGCGTCTCCTTCCAGCATCCGGTCAATGAATCTTTAGTGTGTGGTAAGTTGCAAAAATGTTCCAGCTTAGTTTTAAGCAGAATGATGCATAACTATTATTTACAATATTTAAATTATAAATGGTTCATACACATCTTGGAAGATATGGATAAACATGGCAAAAATAAGTTAGTGTGGGAAAAAAAGTGAAAGTTATTAGACTTTGTCAAGTCTTTGTCAAATTTCTAAAATCAAAGAGTAATTGCATTGATTTTTGTCCCAAACATTAACATTGTAATCTAATATTTACGAACAGATTTTTCAGTTATTAAAAAAGGGATTTAATTACCAATTTTAGACACGGTTTAGATCATTTCAAATATTTAAACCTTTTCTCAAGCTCTTGAACTGGTTTTGGCATGATGGGCCTCAGTATGTCGTCCCTCCAACCTCCAAGCTCATTGGGAGTTTACTTTCAGATGAGTTTATCTAACATTCTTACTTAAAATTGGATCAAAATAATGAATTTAAAATACATTCCTGTCGTAGCACTGGTCAAATAGCCACATCTTACACTTCATGTGGTGTGGGCACCACTTGTTACCTATAACCTTAATCCATGCAGCATTTATGTATTTTTAATGTTTTACAATTATCCCCTATAGTACAAGGCCTTTCATTTAGTTACCCAGTTATTAGCAGAGAATCACCAATTGATGGAAAGATATTTAATATCTTAGTGTTGGGTTCATTTCTGAACACAGAAACTGGAATTTCAAACAGTATCCAAAGTCTAGTCTGTTTCATGTTCCTTATTTTTTCTGGCCTCTTTTAGTCGTCATGGAGGTGATTGACTCTAGGCAGGTCTCCTGCCACCTGTATAAAGGCCCATCGGATGCTTTGATCTGTACGGATGAGTTTATAACTAAAGTCGTCACAAGGTGAGCTTCTTTTTTTCACTATTCTAAATGCCTTCATATAAAGAGTGCATTTGGTATTAATTGTTTCCTCACCATTGTAGATGCATGTCCATTCCTGTTACCATGCGGGCCATTCGTAGGAAAGCTGAGACAATCCAGGCAGACACTCCAGCCCTCTCTTTAATAGCCCAGACAGTGGAGATCATGGTGAAGAATAACCCACCTCCCTCCGGCAGTCCTACTTACAATATGGTGGCAGGAGATGGAACCAACCCAATGGGACTACCTGGGCTTACTGGTGGCAACACACCTACTAGTGGACCACCTGGGGGACCTAATTATGCAGGTCCAATCAGTTCTATCTTTGGAATGTCCCGTTCTGAGAGACAAGCCCAGGGAGAGTGTCTGACCCCAGGAGGGGTTGCTGGCCAGCAGCAGCAACAGCAAGGCCATTCAGACGACTACAGCAAAGTCACTCAGAACCCCATTCTGACCAGTTTGTTACAGATAACTGGAAATGTTGGTTCCAGTCCCAGCTCCCAGAATGCACCACAGCCCAATCAAACTCCGCCACCAACTTCATCCCCTGCCAGCAACACAAAGAGTCACCCTATGCTGATGAACCTGTTAAAAGATAACCCCACACAGGATTTTGCTGCGCTGTACAGCTCGAGTCCCTTAGAGCGACAGAATTCCTCATCAGGTTCTCCACGAACAGATAGCATGGGCGGGGCTTGTCCTAGTGGCAACGGCAAGGGGAAGAAGAAGCGTCCTCGCGGCCCTGAAAAGGGTGGGGTGTTGCCTGGAGTAGGTGCAGGTGGAGGAGGTGGCGGGCTGAGTGTGAAACCTCAACTGGGTTCCTCCATGCCACAGCACCTCCAGCACCACTCGGTTACTCATGAGGATGATTTCCACCGCAAGCTGCTCTCAATGGACGTGGACGCTTCTCAGAATTCTATATTTGATGTTAACCTCCCTGGTGATGGCTTGGACACACACCACAGCATAACTCCAGCACTTAGCCAGTGTGGAACGCCCCCACCAGGCTCTGGCATGGCTTACCCACAGTCTCATGTTCAGTCTCAGCAGCAACAGGCCGGTTCTGTCCCGCCTCGCATCGTCCGCCTTCCCAGCTCTGACAGCATTGGGCCTGATATTACAGAAATCCTGCAGGATTTACCTGAGCAAACTGGAAAAGGTAGCGGTGGGAGCCATGGGCAACCGGAAGATGGAGGGCCTTTAGGCACTCCTATTCGTGACTCCTCCAGCTCGGGGCAGGGTAGCGCTGTGTTCGATTCGGCAGACATTTTCAATACCAACAGCAACGAAAACCCATTTACTGATGCGGCTGACCTGATTGCCGAGGCAGCCGCGACTGCTGCCACTCCCAACAGTGACTCCTCTTCCACTAACTTCTTTCCTGATGCGTCTGACTTCAACCCTGACCTTTTGACCTCGGGCCATGGCTTCTCACAAAACTACTTTGATGACAGCTCTCCAAGTGCTGATGGAGACATGGATTTGGTGAAAGGCTTTGGGGGAGGTAGCCAGCAGAATACTCCCTCAGGAACTCCACAGAACCCTCCACATGGACAGAGCACTCCAGAGTCCTCACTGAAGGACCCTTTTGATATGGGGGTCTTTGGAGTCAACAGCGGTGGTGGGAAACCACTTTTGGGTCAAGCTCCTGATTTAATAGACACACACAGCGGGGGATCCCAAAGCCCCCTTATGATGGGAATCAGCACTGCATGTTCGGATTTTAAAAATGCAGAACCAAAAATCAAACAGGGACTCATGCGGCCCAAGGATGAGAGTGGGGGAAATGGAGGAAGCGGTTCTGGGATGGGAATGGGAAGCAGCTCAGCAGAGAGCAAACAGGTCAAACGAAGCCGGACACCATCAAGTGAGGGAAAATCTAAAGATAAACCCCCGAAACGCAAAAAGCTCGACCCAGATGGGAAGTCCCCCTCTCACAGCTCAGGAGGGCGACCCTACACGCCTCCCAGTGGTGGTTCAGGCTCAGGAGGAAGCATAAGCGGTGGAGGCTCCAAGTCTCCCGGTAGTTCTGGACGCTCACAAACTCCTCCAGGAGGTGCTACCCCCCCAATCCCCAAAATCACTATTCAGATCCCTAAAGGTACGATCACTGGGGGGAAAACTTCCTCCCACGGTGGATACACCTCCAGCAGCTCTGCGACGAGCGGCTCTGGAGGTGGAAGTGGGACCAGCAGCAGCAGCAAAAGCCACCATTCACATTCTTCTTCCTCTGGAAAGATTAAGTCCAAAGAAGGATCCATGTCGCAGGGCAACAGTTCCAAACCAGGGGGGTCAGGAGGTGGAAGCGGCCAATCGCAGATGAAAGGATCCTCTCAAGGTATGAGTGTTGGCAAACCAGGATCATCCCCGATCACTAAGCATGGTCTATCTGGGCCTGGGGGTACTGGAGGTGGAATGGGAAGTGGCAGTAAAATTAAGCCTCAGGGAGGTAAACCTCCGGGTTCACTTATGAATCCCAACATAAAGCCTAACATCTCACCTTCCCATTCCCGCTCCAGCAGCTCCGGTGACAAACTCTCCTCTCCGATGAAAATGCAGCAGTCCCAAGTTCCAGGAACTCCTCCTTCTTCCAAAGCTAAGTCCCCAATTGGATCAGGAAGCAGCAGCTCGGGAGGATCCAAGTCTTCCTCTGGCGGAAGCTCCCAAAAACCCAGTGGCGGGGGTTCGGCTGGTTCTACGTCATCTTCATCCAGCTCAGCGTCTGGTTCCATGAGCTTCTCTGGTGGATCCCAGTCTCAGTACGGCAGCGGTGGAAGTGGAGGGGGAGGAGGTGGTGGTAATGGGAGTGAAGGAAATAGCGGAGGGGCGGGTCAGAACAATGCTAATAACCCCAACGCCAAAGGGAAGTCTCCCAGTAGAAACAAGAAACCTTCTCTAACAGCAGTCATAGACAAACTAAAGAGTGTGGGCAGCGGAGGAGTTGGGGAGGATGGTTGTGAGGTAGGGACACCAGTTGGAGGTCCCGGGTCAGCATCTACTCCTGGTGGTCCTGGAAATGTTCCCAGCGGACCCTCAAACATGGGTTCTTCTAAACATTCTTCATCCTCTCAAAGCGGAGAATACAAGCGGGAAAAGTCTGATAAAGAGGGAAAGTCCAAAGTGATGGTTTCAGGGGGTAGTAGTGGAGACAAAAAGATGATGGATCCAAAAACTGGAGGGTCAGGTGGAACCACTCTGGCCAAAATCATCATCAGCAAGCCAGATGGTGGCTCCCCCAGCATCAAGGCCAAAGTGACCCTTCAGAAAACCGGGGAGGGATCCGGAGACTCTATGCGTCCGCAGATCTCCAGCCTCAAAGCATCCCCCCTCTTCAGCGGCTCCACTCCTAAACATGACCGGTCGTCGCCAAGCCACAGTCGCTCACCAGGATACACACCTCTGAACCAGGACAGCGAGAGTGAGTCTGGAAGCAGCTCGGTAGCCGAGAAGTCTCACCAGAACAGCCCCAGCTCGGACGATGACCAGACCATGCGCCCCCTTCCCCCCCAGGACTACATGAGCTCCATCCCTCTCAGCTCGGGGGAGAAACACAAAAAGCACAAGAAGGAGAAGAAGAAGCTGAAGGATAAGGATCGAGAGAGAGACAGAGACCGAGATAGGGACAGGGAGAAGGAGAAGAAGAAGTCCTCCATGTCCATGGGGTCTTCTTCACATTCAACGAAAACAGACAGTTGGTCCCGGTCTCCCATCTCTGCCTCAGATTCATCACTCTCCATGCTTAGTTCAGATCGTCCATCCCGGTCCAGTCCTATGTGTATGGGAAATGAAGATGATGACCTTATGGACTCTGCCCTTATTGGCAACTTTTAAACCTGATTTTAAGAGGTTTTACTTCATTTCTGTCATCTTTTAAAAAGTTTCCTTTTATTTATTCAACTAAAGTCACACAGACAAACAAACAAAAATAACAGGATGGGCAAAAGTGACCTGTCAAAACCAAACCCAGTGTTTACTGTACCAGTTTCATTGAGTTATTTAATGGTTTGGCTGACAGGTTTTGATGGTGAAAGATGCAGATCAAAATCTGCAGCAGAGTTTTAGTTTCCTTTAGCTCCTCTCCAGAAAGGGTTTTAAATCGTGCTTTAAAAATTGATATTGTTTTCTTTTGTTAGAATATTTTATCTCTGAGAATATATCTTGTTGCATGGTGTCTACATTACTGTTGTATGCTGTCCAAAAAGTGTAAAAGAATTTTAAACTGAGAATGATAAAAGTTTTGATTTTTAGATGCAGACGAGCATTTTTACTAATCATTATTTAAAAAATGCTGTAAATTAGTCTAGGTACAGAAAAAGGCTACAGGATTTTTTTTTGTTTTTTGTAGAATCTTAATTCTTGAAATAAATATTTAACTTTTTTAAACTGACTTATCTCCTGTGTTACTGAGTTCTAAAAGTTTTGAATTTTCAAGTATATATTTAAAAAAAACTGCATTTGTTTTGGGTTTTATGTCATGGACCAACGCAAATTTTAAATTTATTAAGAAGTAAAAATAAAACAATACATGCCTTTATTTTTTCTTTCACAAATCAGAATTTTGTGGCCATTCCAGCCCCCTTCAATGATTGACTTATAAAAGCATTGAATTTCATACTTCTAGTTAAGCTAATCATGACTTTTATATTAATAACTATTGTCCTTTTATCCCGATAGTCTGTCATGTTACATTATTTGAAGCAAGACAAGTACTTTGGTGCTGCTTTTATGGCCACAAACTGAAGATGAAGTAACTGTAATCTACTATGGCAACACTAGATGGCAGTAAAGTAACAGGTTGAGAGGCCTAAATAAATAGGGTGAGTTTAAATATGTAAAACATTATGTATAGAGTTATGACATAAAATCTCATCAGTTTATCACCAATTAGATGTTTCACTGATAAAGAAGGGAACCTAGAGAACATTTAGTCTACTTTGCCCATTGATCTTGTTTGTGGTGGATGCTATTTTATACCCTTAACCTGTCTTTGCTTAGTTTTTTTGAATTTGGCTCAATTTTGTTAACTTAATTTATCACTTTATCTTATTACTTGTATATAACCGGGGAGTCCCAGATTAAGCAACCACACATCACCTTATAAACAATTAATGTTGACTTTGACTGGTTTTTAATGTTAAAAGAACAATTTAGATGTATTTACATGTTGTTTGAGTCGTCAATAATTAGCAAAAGATGACATTAATATTACTCTTAATTGAAAATAAAGGGTTTTAAATATACTTTGACCCTTACATAGACAGAGGTAAATTGTACACCAAAACTGAATCTTGTTTCAAACCTTTCCACTTTCCTTTTAAGCATTTGAAGCTGATGCTGAATTCTTAATGCTAAATTAAGAATGGATTTAAGAAATGGTACTACTAAATGAGTTCACAGCTTCATAAGCTTTTGAAATACGTTGTTATAAGGGTATCCTTTGGGGATTTGTCTATGCGTTTAGAATTTTCCTCCAGTGGGATCTATTTAGTAGGTTCAGCTTCGACACACAAAATGTTTGGTTTACAGAGAGGTAATGGTCTCTGTGACAGCAAAAAGCCCTAAACTTATGGCAGTAAAAGAATCCTGAATCATAGGTCACCCTCCACGATAATGCCTCACAGCAGGGATGAAGTGTTTTACTTATATGCTGTTTAATATTTGCCTTTCTCATTCTGTTCCAGCATCTCTACCCTGCTCTCATCTAATCATAATATATAAGCATTTTCTGGAAACCCTCCAAAAGACTCCAGTTGTTCAGATTTTTTTAAATTATACAGCATTTAACAACATGCTGTTTGGTCCATCTGAAATGGAACCCACATTTTTCTATAGTAGCGTACTTCTGAGCAGTTCATGGCCTGACCTGCTACTGGGTTGAATTTTATTTGCATATCTACTGCTGAGATGTCTAAAGGACATTTTAATTATTTTTTTTGCGTATGATTTATTTTTACTGCAGAAAGACTTTAAATATACATGGGAGAGAGCTTTTAACCTTAACCAGATTCATGCTCAGTAAGTTTCATCTTAAAGGTTACTGTTAATTTTTCCCCAGAATAATCTAGAGGGGGAAAACATCACATGTTTTCGCACCTGCGGATGATCAGTTAACTAAATTCAACTGACTAGCAGAACATGGGTCCTGTTTCCATGTCTAAATCCTTTGGAATCAGCAAGGGTGTACTTCGCCTTTTAGCAAATTTACAGGGTGGCAGTGGCATCGGTTGTAGGAGTTTGCCCTGCAGTTGGAGGGTTGTTGGTTTGAGCCCCAGCTCTGGCTTTTGATGTTGTTCAATGGACAAAATACTTCTTCCGCATTGCCTACTGATGGTGGTCAGAGGACCTGGGTCTGTCAGAGAGCAACATTGTGGCTACAACATAGTTTGCCACCATCAGTGTTTTTGTGAATGGCTGAATGCGGTGTAAAGCTCTTTGATCAAGTTTCCTGACTTGGAAAAGTGCTATATAAGTACATGCTATTTACCATTTATCCCATAAATGTAGTTATAATGTAGCTGAAAAGGTTTTTATGAAAGCATGTAAATTTGAGCTGCATGGAGGTGCTAGTCATAGCTTGTCCTGCAGCAAGAAGGTCAAGTTTTTGAGTCTTGGCCCAGGGTCTTTCTGCATGGCGTTTGAAAGTTCTCCCTGTGTATACTTGGGATCTCCCTGGGTACTACTGTATCTTCATCCCACTGCCCAAAAACATGACTGTTAGTCTGGTTTCTCTAAATTGTGTATTTATGGTTGTATGTCTACTGTATGTGTTGCCCTTTAATGCACCGATGACCTGTCCAGAGTGTACGCTGCCTTTTGCCCAAATACTTTTAGAGATAGGCCCCCTGGTACCGTGATGGATAAGCAATAAAAAATAGATGTAAATGGCAAAAACAGAAGAAATCTGTTTAGGGAGAAACAGATGTTTGTTTTTATTAATGGGTTCTTTTCTGGTGCACAGATTAAGAGCATGTGATGAATTCATCAAACCTCCATCCCAACAGCTAATGAAGCACCTGGAGTTCATGGCTGTTGAAGCAGTAAAGCGTGCGAAAAAGCTTTGACATATTCTCGTTAGAGCAGCAAGTGAGAGTGAGGGGAGGGATTTGCCAGTTAAGCTTTACGACTGAAGCCAGAGAGCTTTCTGGTGGAAGAAAGAGCAAAAGGGAAGAGGATATATGAATAAAGGCAAAGGAAGAAATGAGAAGAGAGTCAGGATTTATATTCAGCCTTGGAGTACAGAAATTTAAAGTAAGAATATCGTCATAGCATGAAGGCTGTAGACTGATACCATTTAAGCTGTTCGGCTGCACTGAAAGATTTCAGCAGTGGTTAAGCCAAGATCTGACATTTGAATTTAACTAAACTTTGAAAAGATTTTACTTTGCTAATGATTGGTAATGCTGTGGGCCTGAACATACAGAATTACTAACTAATCAATGCTCTGACAAGAAACAACAGAGGTGGGTAAAGTACTCAAAAGTTTTTCACTCAAGTAGAGGTCTAATGTATTTATCCAATAAATCACCTAAGCAAGTAAAATAGTGCCTGATGAAATTGATTCTTATATATTAAGAATTGTTTGTAAGATTTGATTTAATGTAATCAGTAAGAGTGGTGTGTAGATATCGGCATGTCAATATATAAAATTAAATTTTAAAAATACAACAAAAATCCGAAAAAAAAAAGATTGATGGGCAGAAGAAAAACTTTTCCAAATACATTTATAAGACAAGTGTTATCAGTACTTAATGCTCATATGGTAGGGAAGGATAAGAATCATTTAGCAACAATATTTAATTCCTGCATCCTTTATCTGATCTCTGAATAAGTCAAGTTACTTGTGGTGGATAAATTTACCAGAACAATTTTAACCAAATAAGAGCAACAATACTCTGATCAGAAAATGACTTAAATAAAAGTAAAGAGTTTAGTAAAGCACATTTTGTCCTAAAAGCAAAATTACAGTTATGCAAATAAAGTAACTGAGTAAATATAATTAGCTACTACCCACCTCTGGGGTCAAATATAGAATTACTCAAAATCAAAACAAAACAACATGAACGTCAACATTGTAGTTTCTTATACAAAATATTATTAGTCTTTTTAGAATCTCAATGAGACAACTCAAGGGCCATAAATTATGCTTTTTTTATGCCTTTCAAAGTCAACTATAGACATACATATGTCAGGGTTCTGCCCTCTGTTTTGGTGTATTTTTTAGTTTCTTTGTATTGTTTCCCCTTGTGCCAGTTTCCTTTCTCCTTGGCTCCCTTCTAGTTACTTCTATCCACACCTGCTCCATATCAATTCATTAACCCATTCTTTGTTTTGTTCCCCATATATACACCACCTCTGCAGTTCCTCACTGCTGGTTTCTTGTTGCTTTGTTGTTACTTTGCATCTTCTGTTTTTTTTTTTTTTTTTTTTTTGCTTTTCTGTATTTTGATTTTGGATTTTTGCTTCTTTTCCCTCTGCAACAATCCTCTAAACATGCAAACTCATCTCTGCCTCCTTATCTCTGTGTTTTGATCCTCAAAAACCAAACCTTGGCAATACATGATAAAAGGTAATATTTTATTGTATAAAATATTGCCTTTGGCACTTAGGAATATTCATTTCTTATGAATTAGTTGTGTAATTCCAACATGACATTATCATATCAAGCCAGTTTTTCTCCAATCCTAATAATCTACCGATGGCCTATAATGATCCAATGCTATTGTTGAATAAATTAACTGCATACCTTGCTTTGTGAGTCTAGGCATGAGGTTTGACATAAACATTGTTTAAAAAAAAAGGTGACAAATGAACACAGAAATAATCACCAGCTGATGTGCATGCTCTGTGTGAAAATGTAACCAACATTGCAAACAGAAAACAGAAATTACTAGATAGCAGTAACTAAAAGCATGTATGATGTTCATAAAAAAGAAATAATTAGATCAGAATGCTTGATCATTCATTCTAATATCCGATCCAGGTTATTAGTCAACATCGAAGCTGATATCTGATCTGTGGTAGGATCAGAGGATGTCCAGCTACAATCCAAGCAAGAATCCTATACAGGAATTATACTTTGGGTTTTTGGATGCAACTCAGAGCTGTGACAATATTTTTGGCTGCATGTTTTTATGATAAAGTATATTTTTCCAGCCAAGTTTGCATTTCTACATGCTAAATTAAATCAAACGTAGCCATGGGCAGCTGATTGAAGTCTCAGATTTCTGTTATTCCCTTGACTTGTGCCCTCATATGGTTTCTGCTGACAGCAGCAGAATTCTCTAAATAACGCCAGTGACACATTAAAAGATAATAATCACAAT